GGAATCAACCAGAAATGGTCAAAAAGTTCACCGGGAAGTACAGAGGGCTCGGATATGTTAGCTGAGGGACGGTCTGTGTCATTTTCTTCTGCCCCTGCAAATCTTGGTTGCCTGTGCATAAGGTCCCAGGTGGGGTTTGCCGTGTTTGGGAATTCACAGTAGTTCATAAAGCCGGTTGAAAATCAGAATAATCTGGACTATCTGTTAAAAATGCAGCTTCTCTAACCCTCCCTCCGGAGCTTCTGACTCATTCTCTGTTGGGTGTGGCTGGGAATTTTTAACTGGCACTCCAACTAATTCGACTGCAGCCAATAGGATGGCATTTGGAAACCAACCGCATCATCAGAATTATCTGATGTACTTTTTAAAAACATAGATTGATGAGCTCCTCTCTAAACCTAGTGAATCTCATTTGATGCTTTTTCCAATCACGTTTCCAGCAAATGCACACAGAAAAGAATTTCAGTACAACCCTGCCGATCCCAGGATTGAATCCAAAGCAAAGTCCAGAGGCCGTGGCCTTGGGCGGCCCCTAGTCCCCATCCCAACAAGGCCCACGAACTCTTGTGTGTCACCAGTCGGATCCATGAACCCGAGTTCCCCTCAATAGACAAAAGGAATCCAAGCAAACAGGTGAACATGGAATAAAAATCCCAATGTCCTGAGATTCACAAGTTTATATGGCTATTCATTAAGAGATGACTGTGCTTTAAACTGCTCTTGGAAGGAAATACAACAAAGAAAAGCCTTCCTGGTTCCTGTTCCTCTGAAGGACTTTCAAAGTTCATCCTTAAGCAGCTTCCAAGAAACAACAATATTGACGTACATCACCAGTTTATTATAAATCTTGCAATAGATTACTTGTTTAGATAATTTTTTAGATACAACACACATTAATGTTACCAACAGGATCGGCCCCAAGACACATAGCCCGCTGTTACTGCTGCACTTGGCCTCCCAGAGCCACGGGAAATCCTAGGAACTAGTGTCACCAGCACGCGGGCACTGAAGTCAGAGAGGCTTGGCTCAGATCCTGCCTCTGACACTGAGGCTGACTGCAGAGCTTTACAGCTAAGACTTTCCACAACTTGAGTTTTCCTTTCCTCTGAAATAAACCACCTACCTGCAGTGTCATCCGAAGGACTGTAAGTAAAGCCTACATCGTCCTGGTTCAGAGCCAGCATTCAACAAATGCTAAGTGTTCTTATTCCTCTTACCCAAATCTCCATCCCTCCTCCAGCGAAGGTAGAATTAGTCCCCTAAATGTGCTCAGGATTTTGGAGTACGTGCTGAGAACTGGAGGAAGGTACTCTACCTATGGAAAGCTCGCACAGCGTATGTGGAAAGTCCTGCACCACAAGCACCCAGATGCTGAATAAATTGCAACATATACATCGTTGACCCTTTAACTACGTGGGAGCTGAGGGGCACCGACCCCTGGGCAGTTGAAAACCCGTGTACACTCTGACATCCCCCAACACTTAACTACTAATAGCCTACTGTGACCAGCTGTCTTACTGATAACAGAAGGTCGATTAACACACATTTCATGTGTTATATATACATCATATAAGGTATTCTTGCAAAAAAAGCAAGCTAGAGAAAAGTGTTTTCAAGTTGTCGAATATCTCCAAAAAGTTTTCCAATATGTTTTCTGAAAAAAGTCCACATATATATGGACCTGTGCAGTTCGAACCCATGTTGTCCAAGGGTCAACTGCACTTTTTAATGTACTGCTGAGATTGTAAGAAAATGAAAGAGGTTTCCAAGGATGAGAGGGGAGAAAAAGAAAAGAGTGATAACCCTAAACCCAAGGGGCACACTAACACATGAGTCAATGCTCCACTGAAGGCGTAGCCCCTGGGGTAATGGGCGGCCTAGAAAAACCTGCCTTCTGTCAGAGCGCACCGACGGGGAAATCTGCAGACCCCACAGCAAGCATACACGGAAATACTAACGACAGTGATGAGGCCTGGAATTCCTCCCTGAGCAGGCGTGACCTCACATATACACTGTCAGCCAGGGAAATGCTTGGCTAACCAAAGTGGTCTTGGGTTAGAAGTAGAAACAAGTATTTTCTCCTGAAAGGCATCATCTTCCATGCAGACCCTTCACGATTCCCATAAAACTACCGAATAGTTAAGGAAATAAGTTACCTTGAATGATAGCAGAAAAAACATTCAGTACTCTCCCCTACCCCAAGGGCTTCAGATATTCAGACTATGGAAAAGAAAAAAAGGGGAAGGAAAGGCATTTTTAAAAAGCTGGAACAACAACAGTAACAGAAAAGCACAAGACAAATGTAATCCTACTGCGTGTGTAAAACCGCCCTTCAAATGTGTGTGTACTCCGTAACAGAATTGTGCTTTATGCGATGCGCGTTAAGAACAGACGTCCTTGAATTTGAATCCTGGCTGACCAAATACCAGTTTATGATTCCAAGCAAGTTAGTACAACTCTGTGCCTAATTTCTTCAGCTGCACAATAAGCGTAATACTACCTATTAGGACTGTTGTGAAACAGATTCATACATGTATGTATTCATGTACCTCACAGAACAGGTCCTAGTGTAGAAAATGCACCCCTAAACAGTGGCTCTTATGAACATCACAGGCAGACGGCATTCATTCAAACTGTACTTACAGAGGGTCTCCTATGTACCAGTCCCTGTGCCAGCCTCTTCGGGAGGCAAAGATGGATAAGGACTCCTTGTTATGACACTATTTGTCACGCTTGTTTTGTGCCAGACACTGACCTATACACTTTACTTAATCCTCCAACAGTCTCTTGTAAAGCATTGTTATCTCCACTGTCCAGATGAAGAAAGTGAGAGATTTAGAGACTTGGTTCAATTCATGCAACTCGTAATGGGACAGAGATGAGAATTTGGGTGCTGTACGACCCCACAGCCTATGTCTTCATTTCCTCACCTCTTTGCTTTCCGTAGATAAGGAAATTCACAATCAGGCATACATGGAAGATGCAGCTGGTAGACTATTTTGATTACTTTGGACCAAAAAGCACAGAACTCTAAAAATAGTGGGTTTCACCATCACAGAATATAACATGATGCCACTAAACTGAATTCTGTGCTAATTTCTTGACCTTTCAGTTTTTGTTCCTTCTTCATGAGGCAAATTTAACATTTTGATAATGAGTAACATCCACTCTGTATGTAATGAATCTAAATATTGTGCTTTTCATATATATATACACTTTTCTAAGTGCTATACAGTAAATTGGCACTTCTTGGGAATTTAAACCTGGCTTACTTTTCGATAAGGGGAGGATCCTCCTTATATGACAGTTGGGTGAGACTTAATAAGGGGGTAGATTACACTCAAAGAAGTACTTTCTGAGACGTTTTTGTCCCAACAAATTTAAGAGGGGTGGTCACTCAACAGTGTAAGACTACCTGTCAAAGCACAAGATTGTTCTCCAAGAGACAGTACAGATCATATCCTAGGAAAGAGAAATAACTGTACTGTACAGCAATACTTTCAACCCTAAAAATAATAGCAGCAGGAACTCTGAGTTCTTGTAAACACTTCTGAGACAATGTAACAGACCTAGAAAAGTTACTGCAAGGTTCTCCTTAAAAAAAAAAAGTGCTCTGGATTTTCTCCAAATAAAAATGAGACTAGAAAAGAAAAAGGACTCTTGCTTTCCTAAGCACAGATGCCTGGTAGAATGATTTGCAAATTGCCACAACTCCACTCACTTCTCCCTCCAGAAAGGCACTGTGTCTTTTGCTCACCTTACCCAAATTAAGCAGATGATTTTCAGAGGAATCATAAACTTGGAGCTCATTATCCTCAAACTGAAAAGAGTTAATTAAGAAATTGGGTACCTCATTTAATAAATAACTTCAAAATAAAGCAATACATTCACTTAAAAAGGAAGAAAACACTTCCATTCATTGCACAGTGAATCTACACCTAAATCTGGAAGAGATTTCAGGAGGATTTCACCAGTGCCTTCACTTGGCTGACGAGAAAATTGAGACGTAGGGCACTATAATTCAGTTGCTTATCTGCATATTTTCTCACATCACTATTTCTGCCCTTTGGTAATGTGGCTATAAATTTGCAATTCATCATCCATTATGTTTTTCTGTCCTAAGACTACTACAGCTTCAGGACAAGGATGAGGTAGAAAAATACAGAAGCTCCAATACTTACTACATTTAAACCATCAAAACAGCTTGGCTTTTTAATCAGAACAAAACGTGTGGAAGTGAATATTTGTATTTCTGCTCCTTATATAAGTATTTTGCCTCATAACTGGTCTGCATGCAAGAAGACATCTCTAGTTATGGGGGAGTAATGGGGTTTTAAAGAAAAGTTTTGCAAATCAAGAAAAAAAGACCTGTAATGCATTTTACGTAGTTTCAAGCTGGCCTCGGGGGAAGGAATGCCTTGCCTTCAAGAGAAAACATACAGATAGATCATCTTGAGGATTTCTTCCAATATTTAGATAAGAAGTCAGAACTCAAAATACCGCATTTGAGTCTGAATTTACATATATAAAAAAAAAGCAGCAGCAAGAATTCAAAATCTTGATATTAGGAACATGTTGCCTTAGGAGAGATTTGCATCTTTTCATAGCGTGGAAAACAAGCGTCCTTCCGAAGGGAAACCCGAGCGCTGGTCCGGGGTTCTCCGCAGCTCGGCTGCGCGACCAGGACGGACCCAGCCTCCGCATTCCCGGTCCTGGTCTCGCCAGGTTGCCGAAAACAGGAATTTAGCGAAGAAACGTAAACTTCAGGATCTAGAAAATGAACCTTATTAATTCCTACCCAAACTTTTTTTTTTTTTAAGAATTCTATCTTTACTTCCGGAGTTCTCTTTTAAATGACCTCCAGGGCAGGCCCGGCCCCAGGCGGGCTCCAGCCGAGGCCCCTCGGGGGCAGGGACGGAACAGGGAAGGGGGCGACGGCCGGGCTCGGCGCTCCGGGGAGACCCCGCGCCCCTGCGCGCCCGCGCTCCCGAGGCACTTACCCGGGGCGTCCGCCGCTGCCCGGGCCCGTCCCAGGGGCGACGGGGGCCGACTCCAGGGCCTGGGGGTCCCGCCCGGCAGGTAGGACGCTTGGGCGCGCCGCCGGATCGCCACCCGCCTGAAGCTGCAGCCGCCCGCGCCGCCCGCGCTGCGGGCTCCGCTCCCGGCCCCGGGGGGCGTGGGCCCCGCGCCCCAGCTCAGCGCGGCCCGGGAAGGGCCATCGCGGGGCTGCTCGGCGCCCGCGCCGCTCCGCTGCGGCGTGTCTTCGGCCGGCGCCTCCATGGCCCTCCCGGGACGCGCGGCGCCTTCTCCGGCGCCGCCTCCCGTCGGTCCCCGCACTCGCCCGGGGCTGCCGCCTCCTTCCCTCCGCAGCCGACGGCCGGCAGCGCCCCGAGCGCGCGGAGGGTCCGGCCGGTCCGCACCGCCGCCGCTGCCGCCAGCCGGGAAGCCGCCCAGGACGCGGGGCCGGCCCGCGCGCAGCTGCCCCGCCGGTTCCGGGCGTCGCCGCCCCGCCCCGCGCCGCCCCGCGCCGCCCCGATTGGCCGCGCGGACGCCCCCCCGGGGCGCACCTGCCCGCCGCGGCCGGCCTCGCGCGCAGGGAGAGAAGGTCCGGCGGGGCCTCTGGTCGCCGCCTGGGGGTCGCCGTGCACGCAGACCCCTCCTCCGCGGGTCCTGCTAGTGTCCCAGGCACTGCACTGACCCCCTGAGGTCATCTTCTGTCGTAGTTCCCCAGGGGGAGGCGAGGTGGGGAACCTGCAGTGGGTCCCCAGGCCCTGCAGTTAGAATCCCCACCCGCGTCTGCACCGAGGTCTGTCCTTATCTCACCGAATCAGAGCGTCTGGCCCGGGGCACCAGGCCAGAGAACACGCTCAAGGGGAGTGTGAAGTCAACAAGGAGCTAGCGACCCACAGGTTTCCAGAGGCGCTTCGGACCCTCCATCACCCAACTTCCTGAGTCCTTTTAATTTGTCGTTTTGTTTGATTAACATCAGCTAAATATCAAACTGAAAAAAAAAAAACATTTTAAATTGACTTGATTTGCTTGCCTGCATTTTAAAATTCACCGTTCTCTAGGAATAGGTAAATAGATGGAGGGGAAAAAGTTAGAATGTGGTATCTTGATCTGAGTGATAGTTACGTGAGTGCATACCCATGTCAAAATTCATTGTACTTTATGCTAAGATTTGTGTATTTCATTGTACATACCTTATAAAAAAAATTAAATTGACTACCCTCTCCAATAATGAAGAGACTGTGTTCCAAAACCAGAGATAAGAGCATTCCAAGCACTCCAGCTCAAGTAAAAAGTTTCCCAGCCATCACTCCCACCTTGGAAGCCACCCCACATTTATTCAAGTGGTCCTTCATCCAAGTAACATCTCCTTCAGCTCCCTGTAGTGTATGTAGCCCATAACCCACGCCTCCTCAAGAAACCTATTCGGAGAGCAGATCAACTGCCTCAGTCTCCCCGGCTACTACGCCAGTCAGTATACCCGAGGAGAAGGAACTAACCCCCTAATTGTTAATGCACCCGTTCAGGCGTTGTTAAAAGGAGATTTTGCTCCCTTCAGATTTATCATCCCGATCATGCATTGTGCCTAATCATTGTTTCTCTATGTGTAATTGTGGTGGTATCTACTGTGCCAGATAACATCATGAAATAATTTAAACAAGTAGTTTCCAATATAAATTAATACCGAAAGTTTTACCTCCATATACATAAGTTAACTATAATTCAAACGCAAATTTCTAACAATTTATTCAGTTCCATAAGAAGGTGGTATTGCAATCAAAAACACTCATCTAGTAACGTAGCTGAGAGCAGCCTATTTTGAAGTGAGAAGATGCTGGCAATCTTCTCCTTTAAAGAACTGGTTACTGATTGAAACTTAAATCCCTCCACTCCCCCACCCAGAAAAACTGTCTTAGTAGATGCTTACTTTCCCTGTAGAGAACCGCAGTCAACACCCCTGCATAGGGCAAGAAGGTACCTTACCGTAAGTATTCCAGGCAGCAGTTTTATGCTCCCTCATTTGGACATTTTGCGTTGTTTACATTATACATATTTGTTTCTTTCTTGGTTCAAGTTCACATTTGCCTAACAATATAAGTTCACATTGCTGGATATCTGTATTTTCAGCTGGAATGTTTTATAACATATGTATCACCTGATATTTTCTCTATCGATGTTATTGCTTTTTATCTTCTGATAGAAACCATTTCTAAGGGACTTTGCATTTGGTGACTACGTTTTCCAACAGTACCTGAATGGGTCAACATTATTTCATCTCAAGTTAGGTTAAAGTAGGCAGCAGTTTTATGCTCCCTCATTTGGACATTTTGCGTTGTTTACATTATACATATTTGTTTCTTTCTTGGTTCAAGTTCACATTTGCCTAACAATATAATATTAGTTCACATTGCTGGATATCTGTATTTTCAGCTGGAATGTTTTATAACATATGTATCACCTGATATTTTCTCTATCGATGTTATTGCTTTTTATCTTCTGATAGAAACCATTTCTAAGGGACTTTGCATTTGGTGACTACGTTTTCCAACAGTACCTGAATGGGTCAACATTATTTCATCTCAAGTTAGGTTAAAGTAAAACAAAATATCGAATATCATCTTGTACATATAGTCTTAATATACTATTTTGTTTATATAGCTTTTAGGAAGTTTGTCAGTTCATTAACGCATATTGAATGAGAACTGTCCTAGGTCCTGGCTTACGGAAACGCATGCAACCGACAGGGGCTTAAATGCTGTATCCCGCGACTGAGACAGTGCTCAATGCCGACCAAATCCTTTATCATTTTCCTTGGGCACACAAGGTTACTGACTGAAACCTTCCCTTGCAGTTAAATGGAGCCATGCAGTGGAATTTTTCAAAATTTTGTGAGCAGAAATGATATGTTACCTCCAGGCCTGACTTCTGCACTCTCGCCATGAAAATCTGTACTCTTCTCACTGCTGAAATGCGGAGGAGCGTGTAGAGCAACTTGGAGCCCTAGACCATAGTGGAGCCACTATATGGAAAGGAGTTGGCAGCCCAGAATCACCCCTTTCTTAGAAAGTAACATGCAAGATCAGGGTAGAAAAACGCATAAGATTATGGACTGATGCAATGCCTTAAATCTTTATCTTTTCTAAGACACTAAAAGCTATATGTATATTGATATGTCTTTAAAATATAATTAAAATGTTTTAAGCATACATTCAACTTAATATTCAATCTGATCAATCAGCCTCAGATTGATCTAGTCCCAAATAAGCAAAATAAAACCAAAAAAGAATGTTCAGGAGAAAAATGCACCAATAAACTGCTTCTACTACTGATAAGAATATCACTTCCAAACTAGAATTTAAGAGAAATCAACACTTGGCAGCAGATTCAGTTTTTTTTAATCTCACTAGAGAAAGAGAAAACTTATCTCATCTTAATAATAAATCAAATTATTTCCTCAGTAAATGAATAATAAATTTATTAGTTATTTACTTTGATGGTGTCACTGGGCAAGAATTTATATAAATGTCACTAAAGTAATAAAGGTCACCAACAGGCATGAATCATGCTGACTTTACCTAGTAGCATTAGGAGGCTGACATATGGAAGATAATTTCATGAAGACCTCACTGAAGATGATACATTAACAGGAACTTAGTCAACAGTATGATATTTTGAGTTGATACAAATTGACATATCAATAGTTTCACGTCTGTGTGAAAATTATATATATATGTAATATATACACACAATACATTATATATAATCATATATACACTTGTACAGTTTCTAATGTTAACTTAATTTCTATCTCTATTTCAACCAGGTTTTGCATATATTGACTTCATAAGGAAATATATATACACCTCTTAAAGAATTTGCACAGATTTTAGGTGTCACCTGTAACTGTCAAAATGCAAGTGTGACCTTATACTTAAATTGACCACTATTGCTCTTTAAAAGGACATATCAGTCAATATCTTTTTAAAATAATTTGGAAACTGGAAGGAAAGCAGTTACTTCCTAAAGCACAGTCCCTGGCATTGCGGAGCTTATAGTTCCATGAGATTAGGAGAGGGGCACCCAGCCTGAACCTGGCCTATCAGAACTGCACGGAGGGAGAAGAGAGCAGACAGACAGAGAGACAAGACTGCACTTACAAGGCATGGGAAGAGTGAAATGGAGCCGGAAAGAGAGTTAAGATCAGGTCATTAAGGACGACGTACATCCTGCTAAAGAGGACTTTATTCATATGACAAGGGAATGATTTTTAAGAGATTTAAGCAAGGAGTGATGTCATCAGGTTTGCATTTTAGCAATTGCCTTAGCTGTCCACATATATTTTTAGGGCATTACATCAAAAAATACGGATCAACCCTAAATGTTTCATCTCAAAGAATACACTATCTCTGTGAATGAATGAATGAATGAATGAATAAAATCTTTGGGAAATATACTTAAATCAGGTACATAAAGGAAGTTTTAGAACACTCACCTCTTGGGAATTAGATCTTCTCCACATCTTTTTGCTACCCATATCATGTGGGGCTTTTTTTTAGTTTAGTTTTTATGTAGCAGTTTTGTCATGATTATGTAGCACGTTTTGTTAAACACATCATACATAACTGCTGCTGAACTATCTCACTGGCTGCCAGGACACTTAGAGCAGAGAATAATGGAATGCAGATCTGTGTTACCACTGCCCTTTTTCCTGACCAGGGCACGCAAAGCTAAGATTCTGACTACTAGACCTTTCCATATGTTATTGAGTATTTTTGTTATTTAATTAGCAGTAGGTTTGATGTGCTACGGTCTATGTTTTCCATAGACCAGATTAGTGGTATGACACAGTAACCCATGAACTGAGCAGGTCCAGAATGGGAAGATAAATATATTAGTCTCAGGGGCTGCATGAATGGATTATCTGAATTCTCAGGCATATAGTTTATCTTCATGAGGTAAGATGCCACCGATAAGACGAAGCATTAAGCAAGAAAAAATTCTGCCAATTTAAACCAGGTCAAAATGTTCTAATGACCATTCAGTGACTCTTGCTACTGTGCAATTTCTTTTATTTATTCTGAAGAATTTGGCGATTTCTCCTACCGCCAATCTAGAGCATGGTATGTGAGAAAAAACTGGTAGCTTCTCTGAATACAGCTTTATCTATCGGCAGTTAGTTACCTTCTCTTCTTAAGTCCTATAAAACGTCTGGGTTTTATTTGCAAGGAAATTTGGAAATAGTCATTTCTTTGCCACATACCTGCTAATATCACATTTGCACTCATTATTAATGTTACTAATAGCACATTTGTACCCGTTGAATACCTTTCTGTATTCAATCTAAGATTTTTAATTCCACTTTATAGTGAAATCTCTTTGGAGACATTTTAAATGAATTAAGGCATTTTAAGTGAATTTAAACCCAGCACATGCAG